GAGGTCTGCTGAGATAAAATGTGTTTGGAAATTTATTAGTGCTTTTTACCAAATAGTCCTATTATTCTCCTTTCTGGATAGATGGTGAAATTGTATTTCCTGGTTGGATAGGGCCATGTGACCAGTTCTGGCCTATGAGTTGTGAGCAGAAGTGACATGTGCTACTTCTGGGTTAAGGATTAAACTCGCGTGAGACCCTCCAGATCTCTCATTTTTCCTCTCTGCCATCATGTCCAAAAATATTTCAGAGTGTCTGTTTCATCAGCGCCTGGATTTTGGAGCTATGACAGTGACAGTACTGAGAAGAGCCTGTGGCTAACTCATTACAGAAATGTAAATGAAAAAAGCTTTTGTTGTTTTAAGCAACTGAGACTTTGAGGCTGTTTGTTACTACATCATAACCTAGCCTCTAGCCTCTCTTTCTCTCACTCACATCTATTACATACTTTATATAACATATGCTTATATTTAGATATATTCAGCATGTATATTCAGATTATTTGGGGAGAAGGCTTTATTAAGCTAAATGAAAAAAAATCTCAAGGCTTTTTTTTATGTAGAGAAGGACTGAAGGAATGTCATCCATTTCCATTGCTGAGCTGGATGACATCCTAGGAACAGTGATGGACAGACAACTGAAGAGCAGTAGAAGGGATGGCAGTGGAGGAGATATAAGATCTCCAGTATAAGTAGGTTTCAGGGTAGAAAATTTGATTGAACTGAAGAGTCATAGAGGTTGTGCTAATATGTTAGCATTGTATTGCTAAATACTTCTGTTACTAAATCCTTAGCCTATCTCCATGAGTTTGGTTTTGGTCTAATTTTTTTTTTTTTGTCTAGTTTTCTATCAATACATGCTCACTAATTATTTACCCACTGATATTACTTCTTCCTATTTTAGGATATTTTCCACTAGCTCCCTGAATTTGCCTACACTTGGACCGTTCTTTGTGTTCACTCACAAGTGTGAGCTTGGGAAGTGCAGTCAGAGAAAGAATACTGCCTTTGTATTGGAGAATCTTTATGTCTGCCCTGAGTCTTCCAGCAATTTTCTGGGTGCCCTGAGAAAGTTCCTTAACCCTTCTGGGTCTTAGTTTCCTAATGAGTTCTATTTCAAAGAAAGATACCCCTCATCTCTAACTTTCTAAGAACTATCATGATATATCTTAGTCAAGTTCTCCAGTCTTTTCTTAAAATTTACAGATGGATTAGCTTGTAAGTGGACTTAAGTGTGCCCATTATCTTGAATCTGTAAGTATTCCAATAATGTTAAGAATGGACAATGAAAGTTGAGATAGGAAAGCCCTTTAAAGAGAAATTAAGCAGGACTAAGAGACCTAAATTTATTTTATATTCTGGTCTATTCAGACCAGAGATTTACACATCTGAATATAAATAAGCTTTGTATCTTAGGAGTCAATAGTAAAGGTTATATTCAAGAAAGAAACTTGCTTTTTAATTCTATTACTTTGGTTGGTTCAAGTAAAATAAACAAAAGGAACCCACATTTAAAATAGCAAGGTGGCCATACCATTTCAGGAGAGCCCCTTCTAGAAAATCTCTGGCAGAGGATCTTGATTGTTGGTAACTGTAGAGGGACTTCATGCCTCAAGAAGAGGTGGCTCAGCTGAGATTGAAGAAGAAATCCTGAAAAGGTGGGATCTAGGATCTTCAGCTCTTTCTCAAGCCTGTCTAATAAGCCAGAACTCAAAGAGCATGACTTGAGTTCTCTTCTGACCAGGGCAAGAAGAAAAGTATCTTCTTTAGTCATTCCAGTTGGCCTCTGGGCAATATCCTGACACAACAACAACAACAAATTAACTTGGCTCTAAAATAATGATGGCTGTAGGCTAATACAAGGAAGCAGAAGCCTATAAGGGCTGGTATCATTCACTTTCAGACCTATCCTAGAATAGGATGAGTTAGTAACACCTAAAGGTAAGTATTTGGGTGTATTTATTAGTTTACAATACCTCAGGACCTTCTTCAGGAGAATATCACCTCAAAGTACATAACTCTGTTAGAAGGCTCTTTAAGGTATATATCATCTATTGTTTACAAAATAACTTCTTGATTATAAGAGAATTTAGAATAAGAAATCTTAAACACCCATTGGATATGAGAGGAGGAAGATGGGAGGAAGAAGAAAAGTTTAGTTGAGACATTTGGGAACCTTCCTGGAGAAACTTCCTAGAAAGCTGGTTGGACATATGGAGTCTGGTATCCACTAGTCCATTCTCACTGTCTTATTATCTGTTCTACATCCAAATATACAGTCAATAAAAAAATATCCTTCATCCACAATAGGAAACCACCCACCAACTCTAAGCATACACACCTCTGGTTGGTCAGAGCCACCCCTTGCCATCTGTTCCAAGGACCAGTCTCTAAAGTTTCTCCTGGGAAGGCCATGGATGTAGGACAGGGATTGGTCTCCAGTTGGTACAGAGATGCAATGGACATTTGCCTGGTTGGGAATTTTAAAGAAACAAAGAAATGGTAGTAAGACTCAGAAAGGGAGAGGGGAAGAGAAAGAGGAAAGAAGGGAAAATATGAGCAAGCCAGCCAATTTCTTAAAACATTCCCAGTTCCAAATGACTTCAGCCCATGTAGTCATTGGATCATTGAGTCTCCAAAGAAGAAAGCTTACCTCAACATCAATTTCAGCATTAATTTCAGCATTACATAATTAACACATTTGACAAATATATTAACAATTATCATTCATTTGTACAAGACAGGTGTTCGTGACAAAGGAAAAGCAGAATGTGAGGTGTTTATAGGCAAATATAGAGTTCTTATTAACAATAAGGATATCCTTAGGCTGTTTTAGAGGAAGGGCAGCAAAGGCAATTGTGAGCTCTGTTTAGAATGGAATAGAAGCATTTAAAAACCCAGACTATGATATCCACAGAGCAATGTTATTAAAGATTATAATAGAATAAATGATGGAACAGGGGTCAATGATGAAATCCCATTTCCTCTTGACATGGAGTATGGTGTATTAATCATGCTTTTTATTTTCTGATGGTTTGACATCTTGGGGGACATTGTTGGCTGGAAGAGACTATCCCTCCCAGGCCAAACTAATTCTTAGAGATAGTAAACAGCTGCCTGCTAATATACTGTTCATATGCAAAGCAACCAATCCTGAGTCTATATATCCCCAACCACTACCTTTATCTAATTCTCAGACACAAAACCAATATTTCTTCTGTTGAAATCAACCCAAGTCCAGAAAGCAGACAACTAGGGACAGCCCATATGCCCAAAGTCTCCTGGGATTATTCAAACTAGCCAGTCCTAATCTGTTTACCCTGCCCTGCCTCTCTCAGGGAAACCCCAATAAAGACTGGGTCCTGTGCTTTCCCCTCACTTGCACCTCTTGATTTACCTTAGTGCTTTCCTATGTGGCCCTGTGTAATGTCATATACCCCCTTTTCCTAAGGAATGTAAACAATAAACTCTTTTTTAAAGGCAGTTGCCTCTATATCCGTCAACTTGCCATAACTGATTAAAATAAAATTCCAGGTACAAATCAAGACACATGGTTATTTTTAATATCAGATAATTAAAAGGAGACATTATCAGAAGGACTCACTGAAAACTGAGTGTACTCAATTGGTAGCCATGTTGAATAACCTATCAGTGTGGATAGCAGCCTACAGCTGCTTTATAGTCATGAAGCATGAGAAAAATCAAGAGGCTCTCTAGAGTTGGCAGAGTGAGCAAGAGTGGCAGAGAGTTCTAGAATAGACATAAGAATAACAATACTTAAAATTTTGGGCACATACTCTTTACAAGGCACCATATGAGTGCTTTGTCTATGTCATTCAATTTAATCCTTACAACAACCCTATAAGATAGGTACTATTAGCACCCTTTTATATTTGGAAAGCCAAAGCTTGCAGAAGTTAAGGAACTTTATTCCTTCATTTAGGAAATACTTAAGTTTCGCCTGGTCTGGGCCAGGCACTATGATAGGTCCTACAGTGAACAAAACATCTGGCCACTGTGCTCACAGAGTTTGCAGATAGAGGCACAGCAAACAACTGTGACAGTACAATATGGAAAGAGGGCCACTATCTGAACAGTTCACAGGGCCATCTAACCTGGACTTTGGTGGTCCAGGTCTGGAAGCAATGATATTTAAGTCTAGGCTTGAATGATGAGTTAGATACCAATTCGAATAGGCTAATTGTGTGGTAAGGGAGGAGGAGAAGAGTACAAGAAAAGGAAACTGAACATTGAAAATTTTATAGATAGCACATGGGCTTAAGTGAGGGTTGGGTGATTTCAGAGCATAGTTTAAGTTTTGAGAAAGGCAAAAGACAAGGCTGCAGAAGAAGGTGAGAGGAACGGTGGTGAATAGACTTAAGTCTTATTAACATCTGTGCTGTACTTTGAAGGCAAGGGGGAGCCATGGAAACTCTTTGAGCAGAGCTATGACTACGTCAGAATTGTCTAAAATTTACTCCCTAGTAAATTGTGCAGATAAGATTTGAACCTTGACTTTTACCACAACACTAGGGTAAGAGAGATTTCACATTCAGTCCACAAAGCAGTTTCATTCTATAAAGTATTCAGTTAGGTATTTCAGACACATTGTTCTCAGAACAATGTTTCTTTGAAAATTACTTTAAATATAAAATATTTCCATTTCAGCCATATGTATTTTTCTGCCTCTGAGAATTTGGTACACTTCTGTATTACAGTATTCTAAAGAAGCATTATCAATACTTTATCATTCTAATGGGGTCAAGGTGTTTTTTAGCCTCCTTTCCTCTCATTTAAGCACCAAAATTTATTTATTGAGTATTTTTATTTTCAGCTCTGCAGGTACAAGTGAATAAGACAGGTATAATTCTTGCCCTCAAGATCTTCTGGCCTAGATGTCACAGACTAAGTTTTATGGACACACCTATGAAAGGGAAAAATGTATTTTACTCCCAGGACTGATGTGAAGAATGAGCATTACAATGTATTTTAAACATTTTACAAATTCTAAAACTGTAGTATATTTATTTTTTAATTTTTTGTGTATCTCTCTCCAACAGAGTGTGAACTTTATATAGGCCAGAACTCCCAGTATTAAGAACAGCACCAAATTTGAGAACTAATAAACAGTGTCAGAATGGTGATGTCTTGTTCAGGCCAAGTGCACGCTAGCTTCAGATCTGTCCCTTCAGGGATATAAATCATTCATATAAATCAGTGATATAAATCACCTTGGTTATTATTTTTCAAAAGCAAAAGGTGTCCCCAAAGTGTCAAAATAAAATGAAAAATTTTGATTAAGAATCACCACGTTTCTGACTTCAGGAGTTGCCAAAGTATCTATAAAATCTCTGATGCTAGCAGTTTCTCTCATTTGCTTTACTTCACATCACAAAATACTGCTTGGGGATGGCACAATAGTCTGAAATGACTTCCGAGCAATGCTTGTTTTATGATGTTTGCCTAAAAGAATCGGTACAAATGAAGCTCAGAAATTAAACACAGATTTAGTAACTCTTCTTGGGTTGTTGGAACTTGCATATTGGTAGTATAAACAAGTCTTTTTAAAAGATTGCTTATAAATAAGACTATTTTGAAGTAGTTACATTGTGGAAGTCAAATGTATATTTGAAAAGTCCTATTGCTTTTATAATGAATAATATTCCATTGTATGCATATATATTTTACCCATTTTTCTGTTGATGGACATTTGGGTTGCTTCCCTATTTTAGTTACTATGAATAATACTGCTATGAACATGGGTGTACAAATATCTCTTTGAGACCGTCCCTTTAATTCTTTTGAGTACATGCCAAGAAGTGGTATAGTTGGATCATAAGGTAGTTCTATTTTTAATTTTTTTGAGAAAACGTCATGTTCTTTTCCACAATGGCTATAACCATTTTGCATTCCTACCAAAAGTGCACAAGTGTTTCAGTTCAGTTCACATCCTTGCTAACATTTGTTAATTTTTTTTTTTAAATAGTTATTCTGTTCTAGTAGATTGTATCTATGAGGTTGTATCTCATTGTAGTTTTGATTTGCATTCCTCTAATGAATAGTTATATTGAATGTTTTTTCATTTGCTTATTTGCCATTTGTTTATTTTCTTTGGAGAAATGTCTATTCAATTCCTTCGCTCATTTTCAAATTGGAATGTTTGTTTTCTTATTGAGCTTTAGAAGTTTTCTCTATATTCTGGATGATAACCTCTTATTGTGTATATGAGTCCTCCCATTCTGTGGGCTGCCTTTTTACTCTGTTGATAATATCTTTTGATGCACAACACTTAAAAATTTTCATGAAATCCAATTTTTAAATTTTGGTTCCTATGCCTTTGGGGTAACATCTAAGAAATTACTGCCAGATCTAATGTAAAGATTTTGCCCTATTTTTTCTTCTAAGAGTTTTATAATTTTAGATATTACATTTAAGTCATAGATCCATTTGAGTTATTTTTTTTTGTATATGTTAGATAAGGGTCTAACTGCATGCTTCTGCATGTAGATATTTCATTTTCTCACTACCATTTGCTGAAAAGACCGTTTTTTACCATTGAATCATGGCACCCTTGTAAAAAATCATTCGGCCATTTATGTGAGGTTTTATTTTTGGACTCCTTATCCTTTTCAGTTGGTCTACTTATCTGTTTTTATGCCAATACCATACTGTTTTGATTATTGTAAACTTTATAGTTATTTTTGAAATTAGAAAATGTAAGTCTTCCAGCTTTGTTCTTCTTTTTTAGGGACCCTTGAGATGAGTTTTTGTATTTCAGCAAAAAAAATCTTTGGGATTTTGATAAGAGATTGATGATGATAACTTCTTCTGTATAAGAACATAGCATGACTTTTCATTGTTCAAATCTCTTGTGTCTTTCAGGAGTGTTTTGCATTTTTTCTCATAAAGGTCTGAACATTCCTTAAGTTTATGTCTGGACATTTAACTTGTCTATATGTGTGAAGGCATTGATTTGTGTATATTGATGTTATAACTGTTTTGTCAAATTCTCTTAATTTTAGTAGTTTCTTCATTAGCTGTTTCGAGATTTTAAGTGCATAGTCTTATCATATGAAAACAATTTTTCTCTTCCTCTCTATTATGCCTATAATTGCTTTCTCTTGTTTAATTACATTGGCTTAATACCTCCAATGTAGTATTAAGAACCAGTAAAAATAATAATATACTTGACTTCCTCCAGACTCTAATATGAAAGCCTCTAGCATTGCTCCATTAAATAAGATGTTGGATTTGGGTTACTATGTAGAGAGAGAGTTTTAGAAACAACAAAGAACAATACATTCTTATTCTCATGGAACTTGAAGACTTGTTGAAGGGGATACGCAAGGAAACAGCCTATTTTGATAATATAACAACATTTACTATAGGGTTATACACAGATTGTTTTAGAAGTACATTAGGAAAAGCACCTCAGTCTTGGTGATGAGACCATGATGCTTCTTAGTAGAACTGATATTTAAGTTGAGACCACAGGGTAATTAGGAGTTAAATAAAGATGGAGGGAAGAGACTTTCACACATAAAAAGGAATAACATGGAAGAAGTATAGGAGATAAAAGAGAACAAAACTCTATTAGGGAAACTGAAGTTCAGTTTAGTGAAAGGTGAGGATGGAAGGGAAGTAGAGTGTAGACAGAACTGAGTTAAAATAGTAAGTCAGGAAGTTTGAATTTTGTACTAGGGCAATGAGAATTAAACAATGGTTTTAAATGTTTGAAGTAGGGGTTACACTTGATCAATTCCTCCTAAAAGAGGCAACGTATATATTCCTGTCTCATAGGTGTTATGCTTGGCCATCTGGCTTCCTTTGACAATGAGATGTTAGTGGATATGACACAAGCAAAGACGTAAAATGTACTCGTGGTTGAGCAATGTGGTTGAGTTTGTCCTCTTGAAATGTTTTCATTAACTTAAGAAAAACTTGCCTTGAAGAGCCCACTGTTTCGGAACAATAAGGAAAACACAGAGTAGACCTGAACCAAATTTACAGTCTGGAGCCAAGCCTAGGAAGGTGCAAGTGAAATGAGTAAATGCTGCCTTAGCTCACATCTGCAGATGTAATCATAAATTATTGTTATTATAAACCACTGAATATTGAGATAATTTGTTACACAGAAATTTTATGATAATATCTGACCAATATAGAGAGGAAAGTGTAGAAAAAGTAAACCAGTTTGAAGATAATTAAAATCTCCCTGCCAAGGTATAATGGTGGTCTAACTAGGATTATGGCAGAGGAAATATAAGAGGGCATTTTTGAGAGACAGGAGGAGGTATAATTTAAAGGGCTCAGTGATTAGTTGGATATTAGAGTTAGGGAGAGGTAGAGGAGGAAATCATGCCCAGGTTTCTTGCTGGTGCACCTTGGAGAGCTGTGAGACCATTCTGTGAGACACAGACCACAAGAAGAAGAGCAGGACCACAGGTTCTGCTTTGAATATGTTGAATCTGAGCTGCTAACGTATAGCCAAGTGGTAATGTCCTTGACATCTTTCTGTTCATCTATTAAATGAGAAAACATCATGTGCCTCCATCTATCTCACAGTGCTATTGTAGAGAATAAGCAAGATCAAACACACAAAAGGGCTTTGAAAAGAACACACTACTGATCAATTGTGATAATTATTAAAATTAAAGCACTAACACTTTCATTTTCATGCTGCCAGATACAAAAAGCACATTCTAATTTTACTTTTGAAACTGCTGCGTTTGTTGTTAGTCACACATTCATTCTTTTTTGTTTTCTGAGAGAAGGCAGAGCTGATGATCCTGAGAAACAATGTAAACAACATATATATTTTCAAAGACACTTAAGAAGCAGAATTTGGAGACAGAAAGATCCTAGGGCTGGCAGTAAGAAGAGCCAGGCTCTTGTGAGACCTTGAACCAAATCATTAAGTTCTTTGGGCCTCTCATGCTTCATTCGTGTAAATGAAGGTTCGTACTTGTTGATTTCTAAGATATCTTACTGTTCTCAGATATGTGAAATGATGGATTTGCTTAACATTTTCAGCTTTACTTACCTCCTACTAATGATACTCTTCAAAGCTGATCTGTAATTTAGAAAAGAGTTTCACACTTGCCTATCCTCACCCATATTAGCTTAGTCTTTATCAGCAACTTTTCTTTTGGAGCAAATTCAGCCAGTCCAGATTGCCTGTTATTTCCCAGGCAGAAAAGCTTATTTTCATCTATGTGTGAGGAATGAGGCTCTAGAAGAAGTTCTGATTGGTTTGCTTTTTTCACTGAGGCAGGATTCCATTTACTGCTTAGTCAAGGTGGTAATGAGGGTCTCTGTACCAGACAAGTGGGCTGCCATCTGGCAAGCCATTGCCACACACTTGGCAGACAGAACCGATTAGGCCCCACATCTCCCCTGAGACTTTGGTATGTTTGGTGGCTAGATGTTAACCCTGCTGAGTCTCCTACAAGAAAACCTTGTTGATTTTTGGTAGAGGAGGAGCACATCATTTCCTTCTGGCTCTACAGAGCTAGGAAAGAATCCAGACTATGGTGGTCTAAGAACAGCTTACCCGGTGAACATTCTGCCCATTATAATATAGACTAATGCAGAGTCTGCACCAGGAATGGGCAGCTCGATATGGTTAAGGAGGAGTGTTAAAAAACAAATTTCTGTTTATAAGAGACAACCTAAAAATGACTTAAATCCCCATCAATAATGGATTAGTTAAATGAGTCATGTTATATCTCTGTAAAGGAATAAATGCAGTTTGGAGATTAAGGACATAGAACTTGGGCTTCGGCTATGGCTCTGTTACTTCTCAGCCTTATGATCCAGGCAAGGCACTTGAACTCTCTTTTTCTCAGTTCCTCCATCTATGAATGGAAGATGATAAGAGTTCTACTTCAGTGGGTGTTTGGGAATAGTAAGTTAATATATGTAAAGAGCTTAGAATAGCACCTGGAGCATAGTAAATGTTATTTAAGTGTTAGTTCTGAGTTTGACTCTCATCAAGCCATTAAAGACGATGCTTAGGCTGAATTTTTTTGAAGCCAAGGGGAGAATTCTCAGTAGGAGGTGAATCAAGCAGCATAACAAAGAGTAGATATCTCATGACTCTCATTCTATATCTATACATGGGGGAAAGAAGAAAATATACAACTATTTTTTCTTAGTTGAGTTTTATTTTCTTCTTATATTCTCTTTCTATTTCCCAAAATTTCTACATGAGTATGTAGTATTTTATAATTAGAAATATCAATAAAAAATTTAAGAAGAAAAAAACCTGGGAAAGTATATTATCTGCACACTTATGAGTCACTTTAACTTTTTTGAGTCTCGGTTTTATCGTTTATACCATAGTCATAGAAATAAACTCACAGGTTAATTCCAAGAAGCAAATGATAAAATTTACCTGAAAGCAATCAGCAATAATAAAGTGTTTTATAATTGTAGTATTCTTCCCAAGGTCATCCTTGGGGAGCAACAACAACAAATATATTAATGCCAGAGTCAAAATTAGGTAAAAACTCAGAGATCTTCAGAAGTTCATAATAGATTATTTCACTTCTGCAGATGTATTATGTTCTGTTCCAAGCAGGCCCTAAATTCAAGGACTCTTTATGAGAAAGCCAAAAGAACACATTAACTGGGGATTAGAAAGCCCAAGTTCTGATGTAGGCTATGCCTCTGACATTTTAGGCAAGTCACTTTTATTTCTGGATCCCAGTATTCAAGTAGACCTTGCAGAGTATGGTCTGAGGTCCATTGGTGGGTTGTGAACCACTCAATTATTTATTTTAGAGTTCTTATGAGCAAAAGATCACAAATCCATAGGCTTTTATTTTCTCACAGGACTAAAAGCTAGCTAGTATCTGATTTAGTAGAGGCGATTAAAATTATAAACTAAAAGTAGTTATGGTTGAGTTTACTGCAGACTCTAAGTCAGTATTCTACTAAAACATTTGGCTGTCACTTAATGCTTGGCAGCACTGCAAAACTCCTCTATGTATTCATTTAATTGCAATTTCTGAAATTTATTTGGAGATGGTACTTTATCAATGAATTGTTAGTTTTGTCTTGATTTGTATCCAATTTTCAATTGCTGCTATTCTTGTTTTTAAAGTACAAATTACTAGTAATTTAAATTCATCATTATCAAGTTAGTTTGTTGTGGATTGTTGATTCTTAACAGAGTACAGTCATATATGTTTCTATCCAGATAGTTTGGGGCTGATAAATTTTTGATATCTGTATGGTTGCACTGGATTTTGAAATTAAATAATCTCTCCCTATAAAATTAAAGCAGACAGGCCCTCCCCCTCCAATATACCACAAATTTCCATGTATGATGACAATAAGCACTATTATGACCATCACTGAGTTAGCCACAGATAGACTAGGTTGACCAACTCAATTGGTGTTCAACAAAGGTGCAATATACAAAATGACCTCACAGTTCATTTTCAGATTGAAAAATTCTACGTTATGTGAAATATATTAATTACCATTAGTACGTGTGTGTCTTAGTATAAATCTATGTTTCTATCTTAACTCTGAATTTTCCTGACTAGTCAATTAACCAAGAAAAGCTCAGGTGTTTGTCACTCACTTTGCCATCCAGAAATCTGCTACTGAGTGCTCCCATTTGAAGTTTCTGGTTTTCTGGTTTCCGGTTATTCTCCTGGTGTTTGCTGTCTTCCACGTCATCTGGGTTATGATTAATTTGATGATCAGAAGGACTATTAGGAGCTGGGGGGTCTTTGCTCATCTGCCTTGCGTTACCAGTCACAGATTTCTGGAGCGCTCTTTGAGTTTCTGCCTTCACATTCTCATTCTCCTTGCTGTGAAGAAACGGTTTTATACTTTGTTACTCACAAGGCAGATCTGCATTCAGTAGACTACATAAGAAATAGAAGGTGTTTGTTGGTGTGAACAGCAGTAACTCAGCACGGTAGAATGAAGAGGTGGACATTGGCTATTTGCCTATGGATCATTTACCATAGAGAGACCATGTTACTGTCTTCTCAGGCTTTATTTTCCCTTACTGTAAGTAATGGCAGTGTCAAAAACAAACCCTAAAGGTTATCGTATATTTTACTTGCAAGTCTAACAGGTGTTTTCAGTGTTTGCAACTAGAAAAAAAAAAGTCAAGGCAATTTGCCAGCACCAGTTCTGTTCTATGTCTCTCAACTCCTCACCTTGAGGCTTCTTTTTCTCTCAGTAGTTATCCATTTAAGTTTAATGTTTAATGGAGAAAAGAAAAGGAAAAAATAATGTAGGAATGATTCAAAGAAATGCAAAAAATAAAAATTTAAAAATTATTCAACTTTAATTACTAAAGACAAGTTGAAACAATTACAAGTTATCATTTTAAATACAGAAAACTTTTGAAAATAAAAAACTCAGATACTAATGTCTATATAAATAGATATAATTAATAAAGTGGGCGATCTGACAAAAAGTGTCATGTGTTAGAAACTTTAAACTCTTTAACCTAGTAAATCAATTTTTAAGATGATATATTATGGAAAAAATGTAGAAAAATTAAAAACTAAATATTTAGTAATGGGTGGATATGTTGAATTATTTATTCTGTGTTTATGTGATAGAATGTATAGCGCCATTAAAATAGCTTGGAATAATTTTAATGACACACAAAAATGTACAGTTATATGAATAATTGAAAAATTATCTCAACTATATAAAATGCATGTATATAATATGTGTTTATGTGTGAGAGTATATAGTATATTTAGAAAGAAATATACCAGAATAAACAGTAAGTAATCTCTGGGTAGTAGAACTCAGGATATTCCTTTACACTCTATTACATTATATCACATTATATCTTATAAAACTATTAAAATTTTTAATATGAGACAATATTTTATAACCAGGAAAAATAAAATTAGTTATGCCTTATGTCTAGAAGGCATTATATAAGTTCTAGCTGTTATTGATACAATGAAAAGGATCCATTTTAAAGCATGTCATGTTACCAGAACATAAAATGGTTGCTCCAGTACTTTAAATTATTGCATGGGCAATAATTTAAATGTATGTATATATTTTTTTTACAGTAAACCTCTTGGTTGCAGCAGCATGAGAAGGAAAGCAGGTCTAGGAAAGAACTCTTAAGGGACACCTACATTTATTCCAGAGAGAGAGCAGAAGTTCAGGTACTCTTGAGAAGGGTAAGCTCTGAAAAGTGTCCATTGAATTAAACCATAAGGATATCATCAGGAATCTTGATAAAGGAGCTTCAGTGAGATAATGAAGGTACTGGAGTGGATTGAGGAAAGAGGGGAAAGAAGAAACTTAAGTATAAAGACCTCTATGAAGAAGTTTGCTTTTAAGAGGGGAGGGATGGGGTACAATATAGATTTCAGATAGGGCTTGGTTATTACCTTGTTGAAAGATAGTAGGGACTTTAACACACATAAATCCTAATGGTAAAGAGCCAATTGAGTGAGAGAAATGGAGATAATATCATTGATAAAATAACATGAACTCTGACAAAGTGAAATGGGATATCACTGAGAGAACAGAGGCAGAAATGAAACCTGAGTTGACTAGTAGGGAGATAGGTGAGAATGTAAGCAAATTTATTTTTGTACTTGGTGACAGGATATTGATCAAATTGCTGACAACTTGAATTTTCTCTTTGATAAATACAATATAGTTACCTGTTGGCCCTCAAGGTGGAAATCCTGGGGTAGGAAGTCTGTGTAAGGGTAGCTGGCTTGAAAAAGCCCCAATAAAGAGTGGAAGACAGGTGATGAGAAAAAGAAGAAAGGTTGACTGGGCGAAAGTGATCATTAAAGGCTGGAGACTACAATTTTGTGACATCAATCTAAAAAGATGCATGCTCTCCTCTGGGATTTCCCAGCAGTCCTTTTGGAGATGCAAACAAGGCAGACAGTGGGGCACATTCAGAGCTGGGGCTTTGTCAGATAGGTGCAGTTGAATGACAATAGAACAAGATAGTAGAAGAAAAGTGTATATTTAACAAATAGTTTTTGCAGTGAGAGAAGATGTATAACATGCGGTCCTTGACCTCAAGAAACTTAATTTCATTTGATTGTCCAAAAATAACACATATAATAAAGTTAACAACTGGTATAAACTTGTTTCTCGAAGTTAGATAGATAGCTTCTGGATAGTGGTTACTTTTTTCAGGGAGTTGTAGAGCCCAGAAGGGATTGTCAGGGGACTTCTGGAATATTGGTGCTATTCTGTTTTTTAATCTGGATGTTTGTTGCATGAGTGTATTACATTTGTGAAAATTCAGTGAGAGTATACTTACGATATGCATATATACATATATGTTTTTATAAAGTATTTAAAGAAATTGACATAAGATTTATATAAATAATATGGAACATACCTAATTAGCATATAGATGAATGTTACAAAGAATCAGAAGTTCATAAGAGAAATAATTGTAATAAGTCAGATGAAGAGATATACAAATACCATGTAATTTCACTTATGTGTGGAATCTAAAAATACAAACAAACAAAACAAAACAATAACTTACAGATAAAAAGAACAGAATGGTGGTTACCAGAAGAGAAGGCGGTTGAGAGGGAGGGTAAAAGGGTTAAAGAGATCAATTTTGGTGATAGATGGTTACTAGACTTACAGTAGTGAACACTGTGGTATATACAAATATGGAATTTTAATGTGGTACACCTGAAATATATATAATTTTATATACTTATTTTATCGCATTAACAAACATAAAGAAGTAACCATAGTCTGCACTGGTTGTAAAAATAATGGTATTACTGAACATTTGTCCCATGACAGGCACACTATAGCCATTTGTATACAGTTGTTTATTTAATCATCAGATCAACCCTACAGGTAGGTGCCTATATTATTCTCATTTTAGGATGAAGGAATTAAGGGTCAAAGAATTTGATTTGTCTATTCTACGTGGATTTTCAGTAGTGGAGCCAGAATTTAAACCTAAGTCTACCTGATTGCATCTAAGTTCCTACTGCCAGTAGAGGAGTCTGGAGAGGATCCATGGAAGTTTGGAATTATGTGAGAAGCAGAGAATAGAGGAGGAAGCAACCAAAGCACGAAGTGCAGGATTTAAAGGCAAAAATGCACATTGGGATAGAGAGTTAACTTCTGGATGAAGGCAAGGGAGATGAATCATCTTTGCTTTAACTATGTCAAAATCTTTCCATGGGCAGTCTCAGGATGGAACTGTATGGGAAATGGGAAATGTATCTGCCTGTCTGTTAAAACAGCCACAGTAGATGTAAAACCAAAAATAACCTGGTAAATCTGTTCAAAGTAAAAGCTGTTTAAAAAAAAAAAAAAAAAAACATACATAGCAGTTTAAAATTATCATGAAAATGACTCCCCAGCTGAGAAACGGCATGTGTCTGTTGTTAGCACAAACATTTCATCAACACACACTGGTTGTTATGCTGTTCACAGAACTCACAGTTCTTTCTTCTACACTTGTGTGCTATTTACCTGCAGTACTGAAAATAGAAATCTGCCATTTCAAAAGAATAAAGAAAATGCTATCAATACTGCCTTGGAAGCAGTAAACATCTAGCTTCCTCATATGTACTTCTGACCTCAGCGGATGCTCTGTGGGACACTAGAGAGTTTAGTGTCACTTGGGAACTACAGCATTTAGGGAGGGTAACTGTATTGCTGAAAGATAAATAAATGTAGAGAAAAGTAACCAATTGTTCACTTTCTCACACTGGACTCTTCCTGCAAACCAGCCTTTTATTGTCACTTTCTACTACTGCTCAGAGTCTCAGGTTAGAAATATTACAAAGGCATCTAGAAGCATCCTCTGCCCAAAGCAGTGTGGAGATTCGCCCATTGGCTCCACCTCCCGTGAAACTCCAACTCACCAGATCTCACATTTGATTTGGATTACACCCCTGCAGTGAACATCAAATCTCAAATGGAGGACCCAAGGGGCTCAGCAAAAAGGTCACCAGATGCCATCTTAAAGGTCTGCCAGCCTTGGCAGCAACTCAACGCCACCAATTTCCAATTGTGTGCCATCTAACAGGCCCCAGACCCTCTGGAGAAGATGGTGTATACTGTGCCAACACAGTGAATGGAGATCTAATTCCAGTAAATGCAAGCATGTTCTTATTTGGAAGTAATAACAGATAATTGACACAACCAGACTTTTCTTATTTAAAAAAGACAACAACAAAATAAAAAATAAAATGAGACTGGGGTGGGGAGTGCAAATGAAAATCTCACCAAACTCCATGGGGAAGCTATAATGTGAAGTCTGTGCTAATGTAGCAAATGTTATTGTGATGATGTATGAGGATTTTCTTTTCTTTCTTTATTTTTTATGCCATGAAGCCGTTCCATGTATTTTTATCATAGAAATTTAGCTTTAGAAAGATTTAAAAGTAATTTAACTCCCAAACCTATGCCTGAATCATTTCTTTATCATTGGAATTATATGAGCTAACATGTTCTAAATGCTTCTATGTATCAGCTATCATATACAAGTTTGCCTAAGTTCTTCCATGTTATCCAATAATAATTCAATTAGTTGAATTCAATAATAGTTCAAAAAGTAGGGATTATTATCGCCATTGGACAGATGAGACAATAAATGAACAGAGAGGCTAAGTAAATTGCCCAAGGTCATCTTCCTAGTAAGTACAGATCTAGGACTCATACCCAGGTCTGTATGGCTCCAAAGCATATGCTCCTTCCTCTATATTAATCCTCAATTTTATACCCATAATATACAAACTGTCTATTTTAAACAACAGATTGTGATTCTTTTAAAATATTAATAAAAAAGTAACATAGAAAGACATCTAGTCAA